TTATTGTTTGTTTCTAATTCAATTTTGATTTTTCTGTGTATTGATTAGACCGAAACGTTCGACCTCTGTTGACATGTTGGCAGCTAAAGAAGCTACGTCGACGATGTCTGATGATTAGCCTAAAGTAATTTGGCGTTTGAAAAGATAGGTACTGGGTTAGAGCCTCAGTGCAGGGAACACCATCACTCACTGGAGAATGGAATGTAGGTACAACCACTGGTGAATTCCACTGCTAGTCACCACCCACTAAATTGTTATTATTTTATTATTCCCTTGGGTTCCTAGTGGAACATAGGGCTTCAACTGCACGTCTCCATTCGCTTCTGTCTACTGCTGTACTTTTCACCTGCATCCATCCATCTTAGTCTATACTCTTTCAACTACTCTTCAAACGATCTCCTCCATGACACTCACCCTTGCACTGACGTCCCACTCACCGCTTTCCTTTCGGCCTAGTTCCACTCGAGCAATGGCCTGACGCGCGCGACGTCACCCAGCGGCCTCCTCAGCGAGTGTCCAATCCATCCATCTCCACTTCCTCCTGCATATTTGCTGGTTGGCGATTGGTTTGTTCTTTTTTGTTTGTTTGTTCCCATAGTTCCTTGTTGGTGATTCTTTCCGGCCCTACCATCTGATCTTCAGTATAGAGCGAAGACAGTTGTTGATGAAGGTCTGCAACAGGCTGTTGGAAATATTCTTTGTGACCCTCCAAATTTCTGATCCGTTTAGAAGAACTGACTGACTTGACGTTTTTATTGAAAATCCGACTGGATTTTGCTTTTGGTGCTGAGTGACGAAGATTTGCTATCCAGATTGTTGTTTTCGGTTATTTTTACAGCCTCCGTCTTGTCTATGTTCACATGGAGTCCTGTCTTCTCTGGCTGCTTCTTTGACCAGTTTGTCGGTTTTCGCTTGTAAGTCTTCGATTTTGTGTGACATCAAACATAAATCATCCACGCGCGAAATCCAGGTCTTCTAGGTTCTTCACGTCGGTCCAGGATATCCTTGTCTTCTCGTTTCCCACTGTCTGACGCATAATCCAGTCAGTCTACCACAATTAGGAATGCCATTAGTGATAATAAGCACCCTTGTCTGACTCCTGCGTTTACTCCTAACGCCTCGCTGAGTTCTCCGTTGTGGATCACTTGACATGTGCCGTTGTCGTACAGCTGTTGAATAAGCTTGATGAATATTTGGGGTACGCCGTAGTACTCGAGTAGTTTCCAAATTACTTCGTGGTCAACGCTGTCGAGGGCCCTCTCAAAGTCTATAAAGTTGAGGTAGAGGTTTGATTGCCATTCCATGCTTTGTTCTGTGATGATGATGCCTAGAGTTGCGATTTGGTCAGTACATGATTTGCCTTTCCTGAATCCAGCTTTTTCTGGGCGAAGTTCTGTATCCAGTGCGTCCTTTATTCTCTCCAGGATGATTCGACTCAGGATTTTACTTGGCATCGACAGGAGCATGATTCTTCACCAGTTCTTGCAGAGTCCTAAGTTTCCTTTTTTTTGGTAGCTTCACGAGGTAACCTTTCCTCCAGCCACTAGGCACCTTTCCCCCCTTCCAGACCTTTTGCAACAATGGAGTCAGCATGTCTGCTGTAGTCTCTGGGTCCGCTTTCAGTGCTTCAGGGAGTATTTCATCTGGTCCGGCTGCTTTTCCAGCTTTCAGAAGCTTGATTGCATTCAAGACTTCAGCTCTCGTTGGAGAATTGGTGTCAACTTGCAGTTGTGTGCGTGCTGTTGTTGGTATTTCTGGATGGGCTGCAGGTAATGGTCGGTTCAAGAGTCCTTTGAAGTGATCCGCCCATTGTTTAATCTGTCTTCCTTCCTTCCTTTCTTTCCTGAAGTAATTTAGTGGATCACCCATGACCCAATCAATAATCAAAGGTGGAAATCAAAATTGAATTAAAAACTCCTATTTCGTATAACATATAGTGTGATTTTATAACAGAATCATTGTTCTTTCTTCTAGTTTTAAACATCACCCTTAGTCCTGCTTCTTTCTTTATCGTATCTCTGATTAAAATGCTTATCTTCCTGTTGTCTTAAATAGTAGTAATAAATAGTATCAACAAGAGGGAATGCATTACTTTACAGAGTTATGTATCGCTTAGCCCCTTTCATATTTTTATTTTCACACTTAGGATGGATGCCTAAAAATGTAAACAAAACGTGTACATACATACATACATACATTCATACTCAAGAAAAAACATGTTTGTTCTTTTTCTTCACATCAGATCAGTTGTGTTTCTGACAGTCCAGTTAAGCTGCTCTGTTGTTTTTGTTGTTACTGCCTGTAACATCAAAACTTGTAAAAAAAAAAGTTTTAGTTTACTCACGTGTGTGTATTTTGCTTCATAATAATTAATCAATATTATATCTGCTCACTTTGATTCAAGTATACTTTTGATGATATACTGATGATAACATTTTGTTGAATATAAGTTAGTACTAGTGTAACAGCAGAAGACAGGGGCCAGTCAACAGATCGTTTATTAAGGAAATCAGCACGTATATATATATATATATTTCATGTACATTATTATAGCCTATTCAAACAGACAAACAGTCTTCTGATTGGTTGTTTTTTTGCTGAAGGTTATTCTGTACTGCTTGTGACTGGTCTCTCAAAAAGTTAAGCCATATATCTACGAATCGTATTTGCCCACGTTAAGTCTGCTGTGACTGGTTGTTGAATCAGTCTTGTTCATATTTTCTCACAGCCAGTATTAGCGACCTAGACATTGACGTAAATTAATGTCTACCAATTGGCTAGCAGCCTGTTCTCACCACACTAGTACAGACAACATATACACTGGTACAGGCAAAAACCAACAAGATGGCAACTTCTATCCTGGCAAGAAAGACAGGATGTCAAGTAAACACAGAGAAGACGGAGGTGGTGATGACGATAGCCAACCAACACCAATCCCTATCACCGGAGGAAATTTGAAAGAGGTCGCTTCTTTCATTTACCTGAGCAGCATCCTTTCAGATATAGGCGAGACAGCATGGATGAAGTTATCAAAACCAGAATTGATAACGCTATACAGAGACCTTCATCACTGTGAAATTAGTTTGGAACTTAGTCAGCACAGACAACAAAATTCGGGTTTTTAACACCACTGTTAAGCCAGTTAGTTCTTCTATATAGGTCAGACACCTGGCGTGCTCATCATGGAGAGTATTTCTCAAAGGCTTCTGTAGACTCTCCTCAAAAGCTGCTCCCTTCTCTGGCTCCATACATAAAGGTCTGATGGCCGGTGGGAATGGATTAACACAACAAGAAACTCTTGGAGTATGAATCAATCAAGATGGCATTGGTCAACAGATATCCTAAAAAAGTGGTGTTTGATCGGGGAGGAAGAAAGCTTATGGACTGTCGTGAGGGCAGTTGAAGATAACTGCAGAGAACAGGATGAAATAAAGATGTTCTGTTGAGGCCCTATCTTCCACTCTGAACCCAAGGGAATAATAGTACAGACAACAAGAGATTTAAAATATGCGGTGTATGCTCACTTCCTAGTTTTTGTATGGATGATGTATGCGTTACTGTTTGTAGTGTGTTAAACAGTTTTTTGAGTAAAAAGTAAAACAAATCAGCGAGTATAGGCATGATTATAATTTAAATCTACATTTAAACTTTCTGTAAACTGAATGGCATTAATATTCGAGTATTGGGGATTGATTGGCTACATGATTTTACCATGAGTTAACATCGGTTAGAGAACCATTGGAAAACTTGGGGGTACTGGACGGCTTTTTCATCCTAGTTTGAGATTCTTCATCAGTTCTCACCCACCACCAGGGTTCGGAGCCACGACCTTCTGGTTACAAGGCGAGCTAGCCACTGGGACCCGATCTAACGGCCAGCCCATGAATTCCAATTTCACCCAATTCACGACAAAGCGCAACCACTAAACAATGTCATCGCTGGCGAGTGTATTCGTCCACACTCCTGACCTGCTGTACCCTACTGGTCACGACTTCCCAGTATAGAACCCAACGGTTTTCCAATGGTTCTGTAACCGATATCAGCTCATGATGAAATCTTGTAACCAATAAATGACATTAATTGGGATTTATGCGCTGTTTATGCCTTTTCATATGGTGAATGATCTTTCAGTCATTTACAATTATCATTATTCAATTAATATGATTTTGTGAAATGATAAAATTTCGTAAAATAATGTCACTTACTAAATACAAACATTTCTGTCACGTAAGAAACTTTGAAACACATTATTAATGCATAATGGGCTTATAATATCATTTACTCATTTGTCTAAGTGCAGGCAAACGAAATTTTTTTTATGGGAGCATTCCGTGAACTTTGATTGAACGCCAAGTGTGGTAGCAAGTGTCATGCGTTTAGACTTTTGTTTTCTGCAGACTGGATCCAGTTTGCAATGTGCCCATCATGCTAAGTGGTGGCTTGGCATAACGGTGAACTTTGAATTGTTGTTATTAGATGGTTGGAAATATTCGGTAGGGGAAGCCTTGGACCTAGATTTTGTGCTTGTTGACACTCGTCAGTCAGCAAGGCGTATCTTCGATCAGCAAATTGGACTATTTACCACCTAGCGAACAGTTAAAGTATATAACACAATCCTTCAGGAAGTCAAAAAACGAGCCCGAATAACTCAGTGGTGACATCTTTGACTAAGGCAGTGGCTGACGCGAGTTGTAATCTCACTGGGTACATGAATTCCTTCAAGACTGCAGAAACTCTTTGCTGACTAATGAGTGATAACAAACACGAGACCTAGGTCATGGCTTGGCTTCCTGTCGATCGCCTCTAAGCGTCTAATAACAACAATTTCCTGTACTATTGATATTTACTTTACTTGAAAGCAATTGTATCGCTTTGCCTTCATATAAGTATAGTTCCCAGGTAAGCTTTTTTTGTATGTGAATATTACAGCTCATACTAGTAATTGATATTACGTGAGTTTATTCTAGTCACATGTCTGTGTTTTTTTTATCTACTTTCAGTGGTCTTAAGCCAGTAGAAGCAGAAACTGAACTCTTATTACGTGCATCTCAACTACCAACTTACGGAATTGATCCAGTACCAGCTACGGTATGTTTTCAAGCATTTTTATGTATAAATCATCACTTGGCTAATAATTTTGAAAGGATGTCAAATATTTGTTACAAGTTGTTGTCTGTTTTGGCTCATCAGTCCATTTTAAACTAATCTTGAAAATCACTGTTTTAAAAATTTCTTTATTAACTTTTAATTTATTATTATTCCCTTGAATTCCGAGTGAAGCATAAGGCTTCAATAGTGCATCTCTATTTTGTCCTGTTCTCCACAGTCCTTTCCAACTGGCTCCACGATCGCAAATATGCTCTCATTTCCTCCTCAACACATGACCTTCTCCATGTCACACTCAACTCTTTCTCCATTCGGCTTCTGTTAGAGGCATTGCCTAGCTTACAATGTCAATCAACAATCTTCTCAACGTGTGTCTTATCCATCTCCATTTTCTTGTGTATATTTCTTGAGTGATAGGTTCTTGGTTGATCGATTCCCAGCCTCTTTTTTCGCTATTTCTTTCTGGCCATCCGACCATCAGATCTTCAGTATCAAGCCAGAGAAGTAGGCGGTTGTTTACAAAAGTCTGCCTTAGCCTATTGAAAGTGGTTTTCGTGACGCCGGCACCATGTTTCTGACGCATATAGAAGTGTCTGACTTAACATTGGTGTTGAGTATCCAAAATTCATGCTTTATCCTGACTGAGTGAATAAAATTTCTAAACTAACTTCAGAATAATGGAGTTCTGTCTTGCCTTTCCGGTTCTTGTTTTGGAATCCCCATTAGTGCTGTTCCTTGTAGTTGAAACGATGGTTCCTAGGTAAGTGAAAGAAGTGACTTCTTAGATGGTTGGTGACGTTTCTGATTGCTTCACTGGGTGACGCGGGTTCGAACCTCAGAAGGGACATGATTTCCTTCAAGGTTGCAGATAAGCCCTGGTGACTGGTGAGTGCCAACTAGCATGAAACCCAGGCTCAAGGCTTCGTGACGATTACCTCCAACCATCTAATATCATCAAATCAATGTGCACCGTGATGGAGAGCTACCTAGAATGGTGGCCACATTGCAAACCTGGCTGATAGAATTCAGTCTGCACCATAGAGAGGACTAGACACACCACACTAGTTACTAGTGTCAAATCAGAAGTGACTTCTTTCAGATTTTTCTCGTTGATAGTCCTTGGTGTTTGTTGTTGTTGTTGGTTAGTTATATTCATCACCTTTGTCTTCTCTGTGTTTACTTGAAGTCCTGTCTTTTCTGCCAGCATCTTCTCCCAACTTGTCGATTTTCGCTTGTAGGTCATCGAATTTTTGTGACATTAGTGATAAGTCGTCCAGGAAGTTCAGATTCTCTAAAATATTCTCATCGGTTCAACGTATTCCTGTCTTCTCACTCCCCACTCATGGTGTGCGGCATAATCCAATCCACCACACTCAAGAATATCATAAGTCGCAATAGGCAATCTTGCATTGCTCCTATCTTCACTTCAGAGGCTTCGCTGAGTTTTTCTTTCTGGTACACTCGATATGTGGAATCGTAATATAGCTGTTTAATAAGGTTGATAAAGATTTAGAGCACTGCACCGCATAGTATTAAGTATTTTCCAAATTACTTCGCTGTCAACGCTATCAAACGCCTTTTCAAAGTCACTGAAGTTGAGAGAGATATATGACTGTCATTCTATCCTCTGTTCGATGATGGTGCGTAGAGTTACCACAGGCATTGATAAACATTCGTATACCGATTACAATTATAACCCAGCTGTTTGTAGACACCGTAATGCGTAGTTAACGTTCTATACTCAAATTGTAATGAACAATATAATGTCTTAGTTTAAATTCCTCATAGATGTCTGTTTGGTTCACTAATTAGACAGTCTTAACCTTACTGCGTATATGACGGCGTGGAGCATTGGCTTAAGCATTCGGCCTTCAGCTAGTGGGTATGGAATATGAACCTGTTCCACCTACGTTTACACGGAGAAACTCAGTAGCATCACTAACCCTGACAAAATTTACTCGATTTACAGCCTAGTTTGATGATATTAGATAGCAGGAGGCAATCGGCTACAGGAAACCTTGGGCATAGGTTTCGTGCTAGTTGGTACTCACCAGTCAGCAAGGCGTCTCCGCAACCTTGAGGCAACTCATGTCCCTTCTGATATTCGAACCCGCGTCACCCAGTGAGTACTGCAGTCAGAGACGTTACCACTGATCGATTCGAGCTGGCGACTGACCTCCTGCCACTTAGCACGAAACCTAGGTCCAATGCTTCCTGCCGATCGCCTCCAACTATCTAATATCATCAAATCAGTGTGCACTGTGATGGCGAGCTGTGTAGAATAGTGGCCACATTGCAAACCTGACCGATAGAATTCGGTCTGCACCAAAGAAAGGATTAGACACATCACACCAATTACTAGTGTCCAATCAAAATACAGCCTAGTTTATGGGTAATATAATCCAATTCTAAACAGTCTTACTCCGTCGAACATTGTTTTCTTAGGAAGGCTGTGACATAACATACTTTATAAATGTTCATGAAAGTTTAATTGACGAATATTCAAAAATTATATGACTGATTTGCTTTTCTCATGCAGCATCTTACTTTGGTCTCAAAATTACTTACTGTGCAGTCGTCTCTCCTAGAGCTACAAAGGTACCAGTAGTGGAAAACCTACAATCTATTTTGTCTTCTAACTTCAGAGGCTGTTTCACAGCCGTTAAGTGAGATGGCTCGTAATGCTCCATGCTACACTCACCCTTTTTATCTGTATCGGTGACAAGTTCACATTTTGCTATTCGTTATTGTAGTAGAGTATAATTCTATCACAGAAAAATTGTCTTTGCGATGTCATCAGTAAATGAGTAGTACTCTATCAATGTCTTATATAAAGGAAATTATTCTACTATTTTATTACTTTTTTCAAGTTGTGCTCATATCATTTATTTTGCATATCATAAGGCGGTTAGATGAAAAAATATATAAGGTGGTAGATTATGTAATGGTAAAAATTCTTACTAGAGTGATGCTGGAAAATTATCTTGCTACATGTGACCAATGAGCTGGCATCGTAACCAGAAGGTCCTGGGTTCAAACCCTGGCAATGGGCGCGTACTTATGAAGAGTCTCAAGCTAGAACGAAACAGCTGTCCAGTTCTCCAAGGTTTTCCAATGGACTTCTCTAACTGATGTCAGCTCTTGAGCAATCCTGTAACGATGATAAGTGTCCATATTACTCAAAAATGTTGTGTTTACTACTCAGCTTAGTGAATGATAAAAATTGATCTAAAGGAATCTGTGGTTGGAGTCCAATTCTGAGAAACTTTAAGCCCCCCTCCTCCCCCTCCTGCATTAATTCGTTATATAGCGCCAACGCCTTTAAATGTCATCTGTTGGTATATAATAATTTGTTAGCAAGAATACTTTGTTTTCTTTCAAGAAGTATTCTTCGCATTGACGTTAAAATTTCAGCTGCCTGGTTTTTATACTTACCTTTCTTTCCCTCCCCCCCCCGCCCAACAATTTACACAGCCAATGCAAAAAATTCACTTACCTGTTTCAAATATAACAATTGGAAACAGTACACCATCACCGACAGCAACAACAGCACCAACAAATGGTGACCAATTCTCAGTCAACTTAAGTAGTCAGCCTGTCAATCTACCAGAAGGAGCTACATTTTATTTGGGAATTACAGGTACAGGTGTAGTAACTTTTGTTGGACGACAAAGGAGTGCAGAGTTTACATGGTAAGTTTCAATACTTTATACCTGTATTTTTTTGTCCTTCACGTTCCCAGTGGAACATAGGGCCTCAAGCTGGTGGCTTGAAGTTTCTGTAGCAGTGGTGTTTAATTTTTACAGGATGGGGTTGCTAGCCTCATGCCCAACCTTTCCTCTTTACCAGCATTATTTCTGGCTTGGCGGGGTAAAGTAGTGCGTCCTGTGGCCGGGGATCAAACCCTGGACCATGTGCGTGGTCGGCGAGCGTCCTAACTGCTGTGCCACCGATGCACTTATACCTGTATAGTCAAGATAATTCAGAACTAAGAATTGTGTATAAAACACTGTGTTGTCGTCTGTTGAAGGAAGTTCTTTAAACATTAACGACCATCGTTTATAGTGGTCCTATTTTATGCATTCGGTAGTTATTACCTACATAAAGTGCTCTGTGAACAGATATGATACCGCGACCAGCTGTTTTACTAATAATACTACTAATAATAATACCTTTACTCTGGACAATGTTCATATTAATGTGCAGAATTTTCAGCGAAGTTTATTGCATGATATTTTCTCTTCGTACAAGGTCGTTCAAATGAAGTACTAGCTGATAGTAGAACCTGTGACACAATTCTCTCTAGGCTGAAGCACAAATCAATCCATTATGATATATCTGCTTTGTCGTCCTGAAGAAATCAATGACATGTGGTTGAAAGCCAATTTTAATAAGTCTAGAAGTACATTTTGATACCCAAATACATAACTCAAAAACAGTTATCTCATATATTGAGACATCCTGCCACCCATGATCGAGGCTTTTGTCAAGTTTAGCAGAAATTTTGCAAATCAGCAGATTGTGTAAACATTTTAAACACACGCACAAGTAAATAATGCCGTTCAAGGTCATATTTTAATCGAGTAAAAGAAAGCAAACGAGGGAAGTTATACGCAGCATAGAGATAGAAGTTTTTGGTCATCCAGGTTTTAAGCAGGTGACTGGTGACTGTTTTTCCATACTGCATACTGCACCTTGAAGTGTAGATCAACAAATGACAATCGATTATCGAAATAGAATTAGTTTCTCCTAATGAAAATCAAAAGGGGTTTCGATTATCTTGGAGATGTATGGCTCATTCATTGGCTTAAGCACTCGGTTTGTGCAGCCGACTGGCTCCAGGTTCGAGTCCCACCCCACCTACTTCAATACAGGCAACTGGTAGCATTAGCAGCCCTCACACGAAAAGTGTGGCTCTCAGCTTATCTGGCACATGAGATATTTATTCCATGGAGGTTAGTTCAAACAACATCTTGCTTAGTTATCAGCTTTCTCTTCTTTTTGTATAAAGTCCCATCCCATTAGCTTACTAATCAATCCTCTTAGGGAAAATTTAAAATTAAATATGAGAGAGCTTAGGAAATGTTTGGGTATACAATTTTTTCTCTATTATATACTTTTTAGAAAAGAAGCGACTTAAAATAAGTGTTTTTTTGGGAAAAAATCCCCTGTAGAGTTCAGTGTTTTTCACAGTTATAAGGTAATTTTTACTTTTTGCAGTGCATCCATTATCAAAGATAAAAGTGAAGTTTTCTATAGTTGGTTTGTAAGGATTAGTTTTGTTTTTACGAGTTGATCACGGATTCATATCAGTTAGAGAACTATTGAAAACCTGGTTAGAATTCATGGGTTGGCCATTGAATTGGGTCCCAGTGACTGAATGGTGTACGATCCAACTTGCCTTGTAACCGGAAGGTCCTGGGTTTGAATCCCACTGTGGTGGGTGGATACTGCCGATGATTCCCAAAACTAGGATGAAACAGCTGGCTGTCCAGTATTCCAGTGCTGGTTTTCAATGGTTCTCTAACTGATATCAATCCGTGTTCAACTTCGTAAGAATAAAAGTGAAGTTCTAAAATATCATGCGACTTAACGTGTTACCGTCGCACATGTTGACAAAACTATGACCATTTGACTGACCGGTTGAATTCACCATAGAACTTTGCACAGAAATGCAACAGCATGAGTTGCCACACTCCATGAAGAGCACACAAAGAGAGGGAGAAAGAATAGTAATGTAGAAAAACAGTAGGGTTTAATGTTTATAGGAAATCAGAAAGAGTGAATTCACCTGTGCCATTAAAAAAGATTTTGAGTCATATTACCAATTGCCTCCAGCCATTAGTCTTTAGAATCCTGACAACACCAACCAGGACCTTTACAACTTCCTAGGTAGTTGGCTCAAACCAACTGTCAAAGATTTCATGGACTGATTCCAAGTTTCTGGTTTGACCAATACTAGCTTGTCTTTACCAATCTGATCCTACGTCAGTTAACATCTCCTGCAGAAGAAGGCGATGACTAGACATGCCTAACACATACACCTCGTTATCTAACACACCCTATTTTAATATAACTCACCTTCTTATATCATCCAACGCGGGAGATAGAATGTAAGCATCTATGATCAAAGACAGCTAGCCAGGCTTTTCATACCTTTCACTTTTAATGACCATGTCTCATATCCATAAAAGACAACGGAGCGAAATGATGCGCAGTATACACGTCCTTTTATCTATAGCGAGCTGGATATCCCGTCTACGCTAGAGGGGTGGCGTAAGTTAACAACTGCCACACAAGTGACAAATATATGTTGTGGTTACTGACTCATATAGAGTTGTGATTTCTTTTTGTTCAGTAGCATTCTTCAAGTTTTAAGCAGCAGGTTAAAAAACAAATGTGTATAATTTTTTTTCTATCTAATCAATCACAACACGGTCTCATCTCATTACATAGATAAGTTATTACAAGATTTAGTGACTGACGGTTTGTATAATGCTTACTACACCTGGTTACTATAATTCAAGTCGATGAAGCGACATATTTAAACCTAAACCCTTTTGGTTGAACTTCAAGTATTTAAATTATCTTAAGAATACACACAAGGTTTGACACAATAAGTGTGAGTCACAGCTTGATAAAACTACCTGTTCATAGTGTGGTGAGAGCTGGCTGTTAGCCAAAATTGGCGGACAGTAATTTACGTCAATGTTTATGTCCCCAAATTGATCGTCAGATAAATGAGAAGAAAGGCTTTGCGTAGGTGGATACAGTTAACATATAGGTGATCTGACATTCAAGAAACAGCCACAAAGAGATGCAAGGCTAACTTTCAGTGAGAAACAACCAATCAGAAGACTGTGTTTGTTTGCTTACAATAATCTATCATAATGTACATGAAAATCTATAAATATGTGTTGATTTCGTAAATAAACGATCTGTTGACTGGCCCTTGTCTTCTGTTGTTACACTACAACGTAATACTTGCCAATTGATTAATACAATGTAGTATATGACATTTTATTCCGAGCTGTGTTCATTACGTTAGATCTCATTATTGCTCTACTCGGATTTCCGGGTCTAATCCTGTGAAGTTGGCTTCAAACTTGATTGATAGTTCATAGTACATTATGTGGTAATGTTTGTTCGATAAACGTATTCTTCAAAGGTATATCAATAATTGGTTTGTAGGTATTTGATTTGTTTCAAGTTTGACTACCGATTGATAGATATCAGTTAGAGAACCATTGAAAAGAAGCATGGAGTACTGGACACACCTATTTCGTCCTAGTTTAGGACTCATCGGCAGTACCCACTCACTGTCAGGGTTCGAAACCAAGACCTTCCAGTTCCAAGTCTAGCTCGTAGACTATTCTATCACCGTGACCTTACCCACTGGTCTATAAATTCCAACTTTTAGCGTGACCAACAGCCAGTGTCACTGACTGCTGAGTGGGTTTCGAACTGGTCGAAGTTAAAATGGGTGCGCCAATGGCTGAAGCGTCTAGGAACTTGCCTTGGGATCTGAAGGTGGTGGGCGTGAAACCTGGCAGTGGATGGGTGCTGTGATGAGTCCTGGATTGGGATGAAACGGCTGTACAGTACTCCATGCTTCTTTTCAATGGTTCTCTAACTGATATCTATCAATCGGTAGTCAAACTTGAAACAAATCAAATCCTTACAAACTTATTCATGAAAACTAATCTGATACTCGCTAATCAGTGGCTACAGGCTGAAGTTTCTTGGAGTTCTAGTGAGAAGTCGTGATCAGTGTGGTCCACCCGATGGGGAGTGAGGACAAACACTCTCAAATGGTATTAGTGAATGCGTTATTTTGGTTTGTTTTAATTTTTCGTCTACTTTGATTATTACAATTAGAATTCTCGAAAAACTGTTTGTTCAAGGCTAAAACTGTACACTGATTTAGCGGATACATGTTATGCACAGTAATCTATTTGACAGGTTAATTGCCTTGATATAACCCACAGCAATCATATTATTAGATGCATGGAGGCTAATCGATAGGAGCGTAGTCTCACCTGACCTACGTTTCGTGTTTGTTGGTACTCACCAATTAGCAAGATGTGTTTGCAATCTTGAATGAATTCATATCGTCTATGAGATTTAAGATTACAGCTACGCCTTGATGACTGGTGAGTACCAAAATGCATGAAACCTAGGTTCAAGGCCTCCTGTTGATACCCTCCAACGATCTGATAACAATATTGCACTGTGATGGCCAGCCATCACCCAGCATGGTGGCCACAAAGGAGTTTTGACTGATGGATTTCGGTCTACGCTGAACAACAGTGACTCGACGCATGATACTAATTACCATCTACTTTCCCAATCAAAGTAATCATATTATTACTACATTGAAGTGACTACGAACAATAAATTGTACTGTGGGCACTGTATGCTATGCCAAACCTATGCATACATTTCTAAATAAAATTGGTATATTTATATTTTCATATCAGTTAATCTATTTTGCCTCTATTATTCCCGAACTTATATCTCTGTTTCATTCAGTGCTCCAGTTGGTGCCGATTTGCATACACTTTCTTTTTACTGCATAATTTTGACACATGGTTTTTTCCCCTCTTTATTTCAGGGATCAAATTCATCGTTTAGCTTGTGATGGAAAGCTATTCCTCATATATCTGAAAAGAGATGGCAGTGTAAGTGATTCTGTCTCTATGTGTGTATGTGTGTTCAAAGCTCACTAATAATGTCTATACCCTTAATTTCCTTTTGCTAATAATTTTTTTTTAAGCATTGTCATGCCTTTTTGTATAGTGAATGGAAATATGTACATATATATATATTTGACTTCATTGTGAATTGTGATAGTGAGAAAGGCAAGTAAATACTTTTTTCACAAGACCACTCTACTCCAGCAGTTGTTATTGCTTTTTTTGAGCATAAATCGATTTTGTCACCTCATGTTTGCTTTGATAATAGTGATGATAATGATGAGATGAGTTCTCCAGTCGATTTTCATAATTGATGAATTTTATAATAGTAATAACACTTAAATAGTAATAATAATAATATTAATCAATCGAATAAGCGATAGGAGATAGACATACACATACATGCCTAGAGAAAATCGTCGATTTAATTGGTTGATTGCCAAATAAAATTAGTATGTCTACTTACTACTATATTAAAAAAATAAATAAATAAATAAATGCGTGGGTGGATAGGTGGATGGATAATTACAGACTGGTTTGTCTTAATACATCTCATAGGGTTTGATATGCGAGATGGACTGACAAAACTGTTCAAACACACGCATACATGATTCGTCTGAACCTGGATTTAGCGTTTCTTATATCTCTAATTCATCTTATCGTTGATATAGACACAAGACCGAAGAATCACATCTTGTCGTCTACTGTGAAAAATACGCGTAGATAATATATGCATACGCCTGCCTTACTTTTAGAAAAAATGAGATATGCTTCTCCGTTGTGTACCAACATCAGTTAGGGAGAGATCATCGTCCCATTCTGGGACTCCTCAGAAGTGCTCACCCACAACGCCCCCCCCCCCACCACAACCCTGGGACCTTCAAATTACGAGACTAAGCACGTTGACCACTCAGTCACTTGGGTTGGAATTCAATGGCCCCTGAATTGTGACTTTGTCAGCTCTTGATGATATAGAGCCCTACCTTCGACCAGTGCCTTCGATAAGTATCCTCCACTTTATTTTGATATTGTGGTGGAATGCTCGTGGATGTCCACAGTTGAAGAGTCCTAGTATAGGACTGTCATTTAATTTAACTGTAGTTAAATTTAAAAAAAATAGTTCACTAGCTCTTTCACTCCATATAGGCCGAATAAAAACTTATATGTTGCTATCTCACCATGGAATTTTAGAATTCAGTGAGTATAGCTGTTAAGACAGTTGAGTTAAGACAATTTAAATCAATCAAGGATACCTTCGAATCCTGGAAGTACTGGATAAACGTTTGCTTTGAATACTCCTATCAAACCCTGAATTTCTATAGTTTTTCTATCATGCAGACAGAATTTCATCTGAACGTAGAGAAGACGGGTGGTGATGAAGGTAACCAACCAATCACTGTCAACGAAGACATTTGAAAAAAGTCACTTCATCCACTCATCTACGTAGAAGCTTTTCAACTACAGGTGACGGGATAGATGAAGATGTCCAGATCAGTCAGAATCGGAACGGCAAGACAAACCTTCATCACTCTGAAATCAATTAGGTAATCTTCTGCTCTCCACCACAGTATAAACAAGAAAATTCGGATTTTCAACATCAGTGTTAAGTAAAGTCACTTCATCTGTATGGTTCAAAAACTTGGCGCGTCACCATAAGCATTTCTGATAGGTTGGAGACTTTTAACAATAACTGCCTTCACTGACTACATATTGAAAATCAAATGGCTAGAAAGAATCAGCGACAAGAAACTCTGGGAGAAAACAAACCAACAACCTACTGCTCAACAAATATTCTAAAGTAGGTGGAGATGGATGAGTCAGAAACGTGACACGCACGTCACGAAGAGCATTTCCTAGAGGTTTCCACGAAGACTTTGATCAACTGCTACGATTACCGGTTTCATATTGAAGGTTAGCTCACCAGAAAGAATTAGGAACAAGGGACTCTGGAACTAACCAAGAGCCTATTATTATTGTTTCCTTTAGTTCCTAGAGGAACATAGGACTTCAGCCGCACGTCTCCATTGCGTTCGGTTCTCTGCCAACGTTTTCATCTGACTCCACGTCTGCCCACATGCTTCTATCTCCTCTTCACATGACCTCCTCCATTTTATTCTTGGACTACCAACTCGCCGCTTTCCGTTCGGATTCAACTTGAGGGCTTGTCTTGTGATGTCACTGGATGGTTTCCTCAGAGTATGATCAATCCACCCCCACTTCTTCTTGCATAATGGTTGCACAATTGGTTCCTGGTTGGTTCGCTCCCAGAGATCCCTGTTGGTGATCTTTTCTGGCCATCTGATCTTCAATAGCATTAAGTGAAGGCAGCTGTTGATGAAGGTCTGCATTTTGTTTGAGGTGCTCTTCATAACACGCCAAGTCTCTGATCCGTATGGTGAGTAGCACTGACTTTACATTGGAGTTAAAAATCCGGATCTTAATGAGCCTATCACTCAAAAAATATTCCGAAGAAAGTACATATTGATTTAACAGGTGTTGGGAAGACCGCTGGGGTGAAATCGCGCGTCTGCCAATGTCTCAAGTGGAACCTGAGTGAGAAACAACGAATCGGCTATGTATCCGAGTGTAATATATAGGAGACCGTGTGAAGATGGGATAAATACGAATGAGTATTCATGGGGCCAGCTGGAGAGGTCTACAAAGAACAGGAAAAATGAAGATGTGCCGTTAAAGCTCTTGGTTCAACTTTGTATCCAGGGGAATAATAATAATGATAAATCGTCTTCAGTGAGATTGTTCTCATGACATAAAAGCAGAAAATATGTTAAGGAAGCAATAAATAAAAAAAGAAAAATAATGGTAGTAGTAGTGTAACAACAAAAGACAAGGACCAGTCAACAGATCGTTTATTTACGAAATCAACACATATTTATAGATTTTCATGTACATTATGATAGATTATTGTTAGCAGAAAACACAGTCCCCTTATTGGTTGTTTCTCTCTCACAGAAAGTTAACCTTGCACCTCTTTGTGGCTGTTTCTTGAATGTCAGATCACCTATATGTTAACTGTATCCGCCTACGCAAAATCAGTCTTTGTTCTTATTTTTCTCACGACCAATATTGGGGACATAAACATTGACGTAAATTACTGTCCACCAATTGGGACTAATAGACAGCTCTCACCACAGTAGTAGTACTAATTATACGCTTTATCTCATGTCAACATCAATTATCGAAATGCATGTTTGTATATTGCATCTAAAATTCATTCTCACTTTGTTCTCTTCAGCAATCATTAGGACAGTGATTTTGTTATGTCAGTCTATATGATGAGAATTGTAATTTAATTGTTCATGAGTGGTAGTAGGTCACTTTGACACTTTAGTTGATTCAGCTAATAATAATAATAACAAAACATAATAGCTCCCTCTAAAAATAGCTATTACATTTTTGCCAAAAGCGTAGGAAAATAATGTATGAATGTGTGGACATGTACGTGGGCGGCTTAGCGCATGATTTATGAGCTAACTTGAAAAATGGTGAATTATAAAATCGAAGTCATTTACAATTATATAAACCTTATGCTATGAACATTCATAGCCACCTGTGTTGTATTTAGCACAATTAATCCTTCTGTTTCAATGTGTCCTGGTGTGTGTGATGGTTCTCAAATAGTTCAATCTAATGCTAACACTTACTGTTAGTAGGTTCTTTGAAGAATTTCGGATGATTTTCTGTTTTTACACCTTCTCACCTAATACCAGTCGGTGAAGGGAACAGTGTTCACATCATGTATAGCATTTTCAGCGTAGTTGACTGCATGATATTTCCTCTTCGTCCAGAATCTTCAAATAAAATATTGAGAGTAGATCGTGTGATACAATACTGTCTGGCCTGAAGTACACAACCAATTCGTGGGGATGCTTTTTCTTTGTGTTCTTCGAGAATTGCATAAGATTTCTTTGAAGGCCAGCTAAGAAATGTTCAGAAATATATTTTGAGGCCCAAAGACATAAGTCAGGAGCAATTATTTCATGTACTGAGATGCTCTGTCACCTGTGATTATATTCCCCTCCCCCCACCCCCGAAGTTTGGTAGAGACTTGCAAATCAGCAGGTTGTAGACGTTTTAAATACCTACGAGACTAGAAAACACCACTCGAAGTTCTATTTTAATAGACTGTCATAAACTGAACAATAAGAATAACGGTGGATTTTCATCAACGCACTTAGGGTTAGATAATCACGGAGTTGAACATCTGGTGGCGATAAAAGTTTTGAAATTTCATAGTTGATAAATATAGGTTGTCGTGTCCTGAAATCTGTTTATATTTCTAATTCTGTCCTTTAATCTATCCCAGAATCCTAATTCTCCCAAAAAAGACCATTTATCCTGTTAAGATTCCGCCTTCCCCACCTCCTCTTCGCTTATTCATTTTTTAGTAACTCTCAACTAGTCCACTATTTGCGAAGTAATCAAACACTCGATGTTTTTTAAACTTTTTTAAGCAAATCAAGACCACAAAGCACAGTTTGATTAATTCGCTGTTGAAGGCCATTTAGCGAAGTGACCACTTCCTACAGTTTAACTTTGCCAGTTGTAGTGTAACTGTTACTAAAGTTGTGTTGAGAGCTGGCTGTTAGTCAAAATTGGTGGACAGTAATTTACGTCAATGTTTATGTCCCCAATATTGGTCGTGAGAAAAATAAGAACAAAGACTGATTTTGCGTAGGCGGATACAGTTAACATATAGGTGATCTGACATTCAAGAAACAGCCACAAAGAGGTGCAAGGTTAACTTTCTGTGAGAGAGAAACAACCAATCAGAGGACTGTGTTTTTCTGCTGACAATAATCTATCATAATGTACATAAAACTCTATAAATATGTGTTGATTTCGTAAATAAACGATCTGTCTTCTGTTGTTACAAAGTGATATACTATTCATCCGCATGTCTCTTCTTCTCTGCATGTTTCCATGCATTGTTCTTAATGTTTTCGTCTGCAAGAAACTATTCTCATAATATCTAAATTTTTTGTTGTATCAGTTTCTTTTCGAAGTTTTTCATATCTTCAGAGCTCCTGGTGGAACACAGTATATTATTATAATTTTTAATATTGTCCCCTTGGGTTCCAAGTTGAACATCAGGCTTCAGTAGCACATCTTTACTTTGTCCTATCCTCTGACGTCCTCCGCGATTGCCCATAGTCTCCGATATGCTCCTTCACGTCACCCTCGGACACACACACCCAGCTCGTTGTTTCCTATCCACCTTCCACTCGAAGGTGTGCCTGGCACGAGATACCATTCGACGATCTCCTCAGTGCATTGGATCCATCTCCTTTTTCATCTACATATTTGTTGAACGATAGGTCGTTCGTTGGTTTGTCCTCATATTTTCTTGTTGCTATTTCTTTGTTGATAAAAATCTTCAGCCTATTGGTAACGCTTTTCGTGGCGAGCACTGCGAGTTTCTTACCCACAAAAAAGAAGTGACTGACTTAACATTTGTGCTGAAAGTCCGAATTTTGTTGTTTATGCTATGGTGGAGAGCAGAAGATTTCCACACCGATTTCAGAGTGATGATAGTGCGGGCTGTAGTGCTTAAAGCCTTTTCAAATTTCAATAGTAGTTTTGGTGTTATTTTCAGGGGGGGGGGAAGGGTTACTAGTCGCATTCTCAACCTTGTAAACTAGACGAGATTTGGGTGTTCGACAGCCAGGAATCAATCTCGAGTATCTCATATGATATGACAAAAATCATCCCCAAAAGACTCTTCATCAATAGCTGCATTCATTCGATTCTGAACATTAGATGACTAAACAAAAAAGAAGAGCGATAAGGAACTCTGGATGGCAGCCTACCCCATATCACTCGGAAAAATATGCAGAAAGGAATGAAGCTGGATTGAATCGTACTTCGAGGAGATTTTCGTGTAACGCCACACGTTAAGCCCTAGAGTAAGACGGAGATGGTATCAAAGAGTGATCTGGATAAGGTCGTTTGAGGAGGAAATAAAAGCTAGTTGGCGGTCATGAAATCAACTGAATATGACAGCAATCTTATGCTCCACTTGAAACGAGAGGAACCAATATAATAATAATATAATGTATGCTTAATAAAGCATTTTATTTTCAAATTAAATAAAGTCATGAATAAGTGAAATGGAAAATTCCATAATTTTTCAGTTATTTTTACTCATGAAAAGGATTAGTTGTTAAAAGCGGGGGCGGGGGAAGGGGGAAATAGACGAACCGGTAGCTTAGTTCTTCAGCTCGTCGTTCTTACATAATTGCCTGCATCAATAGATAAGTCTTTCAAAGAGTTTTAGACTTTTAGGCTAATTTGTTTAAATGGCTTCAGGTCACATCTTTTATCCTTCATGGAAACTCTCTCTCTATATTTACACAAGGAGAACTATGAAATATGTGTTTACAAAAGAGAGTTGTCTGATCCCTTTTTACTGTCCTGAGCTTCAAGGTTTTTTTCTGACTTGTGTAATAATTTGTTACATGATTCATCTTTCATTCTTCATTCACCTTTTTATTCTTTTCAAAACTCTTAAATGTATCCAGTATGAGTACGTATTCTGTGCCTTTCACACTTTTGAACACCTGCTCACAATTCTAATGTTAATCCTTTTTGAGTAATATTCACATCAATTAATGGCTTTAGATTATGTTGCTGAATTTCTTAATTTGTTCATTTTTCTTCCTGATTTGTAATCTTATGTGTTGTATTAAAAACCAGTAGTAATGACTGACCTTTATAGGTATTTCAATGACCTATTAGAACACTATTCACTTGTACAGCTTTTGATGAGAAGGTTATGCAAAAAGAAATCTGTGTTGACCTGCGTGTTATTTTAAATTATATCATGTGGGCATTTTTCACAGCTAGTGGATAAGTACAGGAAAACAGGAGTTTTTTTTTAATTAGTTGGTGTGCTATCTCCTTTATTTTTACATTACCATTAAACATGTTATGGAAATGTAGCAACGCTAAGCCTTAATAATAATACTCAGAATCTGCGGCTGTAGTACATCTTCCATCCTTCGCAGACGTCAACAGCTGTAGATACTATCCTTATCTTTTTTGTGCCTGTACTAAAATCTAAATTGTGACTGAACCAGTACACTAGACTTGATGTGATTAGTTTGTAATTTGATAGTCAGGCCTCATTAACATATTTTTATGAATTGACAAACTAATTAAATATTGTAATTTGGTACATTTGTCAAATATATATATATATATATATGGGCTTCGAACTGTGAGTTTGAAAGCTTTAGTAGCTGTAGTGTGTATTTTTATGGGATTTATAGGGTTTCCAGCCACACACCTAACCTTCCCTCTTTGTCGGGGTTATTTACTGGCTAAGCGTGGTTCAACAGCGCGTTGGCCGGGGATCGAACCTTGGACCAGATTCAAGTAATAAAGGGTAGTAGCCTCTTGTGGCTTGTGTTAATCTGTATCTCTGCGGAGATCTAATTTCTCTTTGAAAGCGTTCACCGATGGAGCTGATACTACTTGATTGAATGAGGAGTTTCAGTTGCTTACTGACCATTGTATGAGAGAATCTAAATTCCATATGTATTTTATTTGCCCGTGGCTTGAGTAACTTTTCATGGTGATCACGCAAAGGTATCCTAGAGGGAGAGAAAAAGCTATAAAGGTTAATGTCCAAATCACGCTTCAGTATACGATATGCCAGAATTAAGTCATCTTTCCTCTTTTGGCATGATAATGGGAAGAGATTTCAGTGTTCTATTCTCTTCTCATAAGAAAGGTGTGAGATATCACTGACCTCCTGTACTCATTTGCAAGGTATGTGCCTCCTTCTTGAACTTTTGACTAGCTGTTTGAATACAGTATTCTAGATAAGACCTGACATATGTTAAGTACTTTGAACATAGGCTAGTTGGATCGTTTGAAAGCCCTTTGAAGCACCCATATCATTCGTAAGATCTTAGCTGCAACTGCATTACTATATGCAGTTGTTTTCAAATCATGTCTGACAGTAATTCCTAAGTCATTTTTCATCACTTAACATCGGGCAGTTCTGTGTCCTCTCCCTTCAGGGAGTACGATGTGTAAGAACTCTGATCTAAGTACATTACCGCGCACAAAGTCATGTGCGTCGGTGGCACAGTGGTTAGGACTCTCACCGACTATGCACATGGTCCGAGGTTCGATCCCTCGCCGACGTACACCTGATATCTGTGGTCGGCCTGCGAAATTTGGGCTACCGATATCCATGCTGAAAATTCCATACTTGTACCAAAAATACAGTATGGAATCAAGCTGTAATCAAAAAAATAAAAATAAAAAGTGAGTAAAAAACAATCTTTCAACTAATTAAATCACTTAAAGTGAACCAAAAAAGTTTATTTGAAGTAATAAACACAACAAAAACAGAAGTCCAGCTGCTGGTTTTCAGAGATCTGATTTGATTGGTTAGAGCACTTCATCATGATGGTTTGCGAGCTCGCCTTGTAACTGGAGCGTCTTAGATTCGAATCCCGGTGTCTGCACATGGTGAAGAGTCCCAAACTGGGACGAAATGTCTGTCTAGTACTCCCAGTTAGTTTTCCACTGGTTCTCTAACCGATATCAACTAATGTTGAAATCCTGTAACCAAAAACATAAGTTACTTTACAACGTGTAAAAATGTTACCCTCCTTTTTTGAAACGCATGCGAACCGCCTAAGTGAAGCGTGGTTGGCGATTAATCTGCCCATTCATTCACTGCTTCAAAGGGAGTGAATCGTTATTTTTAAACATTGAAGCACGCACACACACACACATGCCGAAACGGTGACACTTCTTTTCTTGTCTATAAACACGTTAATCATACTACTCTCTGTTCTGAGAACTATCTATGGTAAGTTATGCTAATTCTTCACTATACATGTTGTATATGTTTGGTTTCATTATTTTCCTGCCTTCTTATCACATTTTCTTCAGGTTGATACTGGAAGACGATTGTTTCGGGTACATATACATATATACATTTATTATAACTGGGTTTATTTTCTTTATTTTTTAATTATTAATGTGTTGCATTGAGTGTGTATATTCATTCCGTGTGATTTTGTTTCGTCTACGTTTGTCTACTCTTCTAACAGCAAGAATAAATGCTGATGAATGATAATTTTCATACTAAAACAAAAGGGGCGTTGTTTGTTCATATTTCATCAAATAACTCATTCATACTACTTACTTACTTACTACATACTACTGAATTTTTATAATACTAATTACTTGGTGTGTGTGCGTATGTGTGTACTTGTGTGTCTGCCATTGTGTCACATATTCAAGGCGTTTTTCTTTTTCTTTGTGGTGTAACTTTTTTTTCAAAACAACAGCAGTCATCATCATCATCGTCATCATCGTAGCTGTTTGTTCTTAACTCATTCCATTGCGTGTGTTGTTTAGTTCATCAGATTGCATAACGTCTCCCCATCGCGTATTGCCTATTGAATGTGAAACAGGGGGGGAGGAGGAGATGAAGAAGGAGTGAAAAATCAACGACGACTTTTTACAGTGTGTTGTTGTCTCTTCTTCTCCTCTTGTAACACTCTCTATGTTTACATGAATTTTAATAGCGATGCCTTGAGGTGTATCATTTTAAAGATATTGAGATGCTGTGACTTTATTCTCAAGTTTATAGGTGAAATCCTGATTATGTGTTCGTTCGTTGATATGTGTGTTTGTGCTTGTACTTGTGTGCACGTTTGTCGATAGATGAATGCATTTCAAGTTGGGTTTATTGAAGAGAGCAATCAGTCAGTATCTAGCCATCTTACTTAATCTATATAAGCTATCTATCTAATTGACCTAATCTATCATACATTGATCTGTTGTTTTAAGATGGAATGTATGCGCACACACCTTATAAATTTAGCCATTTACTTACACAAATTATCTGTTTCTCTGCCATTGAGAAATTGATTAAAACAATATGCATTTTATTTATTCATTTTTTCATTCATTCAAAGTCTGTCACACAGTTGAATGCACTTTGATATTAGAGACTACACGTATAGTGTTTTCATACTATATATATATATATATATATATATATATATATTAGACTGGAGGCGTTTCTGCTATCTTTAAGGTACTCAAGTCTCCCCGCCTGAGATTTGAGTCTGTGTCACCCAGTGCTGAAGTCAGGGTTCGAGTCTCAGGAAGGACATTAGTCCCTTGGAGACTGCAGATACCCCTTGATGACTGGTGAATGCCAAAAAGCACGAAGCCCTAAGTCCTTCCGATTGCCTCTGATCATCTAATAGCGACAATTTAGAGTGCACTGTGAGTGCACTGGCGAGTCAACTAGCTTGATGGTGGCCATGTAGCAAACTTGACTGATAGAATGCAGTCTGAACCAAACAAAGGACACTAGGGGCACATGATACTCGTTGCTAACTCTAGTGTCATCAAGACAAGTGATTGATTATTCAGCGAAGAGGATCTTTTCAACGAATTTAAAGAAATTATATTCTGTGAGGCAATTTAAACAAAGGTGTCAATACATGAAATTTTTTTTTTATTTTTTTTTATTTTTTTTATTTTTTTATTTACAGCTTGATTCCACACTGTATTTTCGGTACAAGTATGGAATTTTCAGCATGGATATCGGTAGCCCAAATTTTGCAGGCCGACCATAGATATCAGATGTGCGTCGGTGCGGGCTCGAACCCCGGATCATGTGCATGGTCGGCGAGAGTCCTAACCACTGTGCCACCGACGCAATAATAATAATAGTAGTATGAAACCCAGTTAAAATGTTTGTGATTATAATCATTGTCAAATTTGCAGTGGCAAAATAAATAATGTCAGAAATAGGGATAGGTCATGGAATGTATAGATGTTGGAAGCGGGTGTGAAATGACAGGATTAGTAGGCAATTTTAAAAATAAAAAACGTTACATAAAATGACATGAAATTGGATAACATAGAATTTAAAATTTCCAGAGAAAAATATTTTTGATTTAGAATGATCCATGAAATAATACCGGAAACAGTTCAAAGTAAAAATAATGATAGTAATAATCTATATGACAAAGGAAGGATATACAATTTGAATAAACAAAACGAAAAACTATTAAGGCCAACCTGCTGCACTTTAACATAGACGGAAATAAGATCATGAGAGTTAGACGGTTTGAACAAGCCTTTATCGGTATACAAAGATCTAGCTTTTCTACTTGGATGACCAAAGCTGCTTTAGTAAGACAGATCAATTCGATACGTTATGATTTGAGCAAATTATTCTCCTTATCGCCTTGTGAATAACTTTAATGGAAAAGGTTTTAGGGTTAATTTGACCAGTATCAACCACATGTTCAATGATCGTAACCATTTAGGATAGTTTTCTTGCATCCTCTTGGGTAAAACCTTAGTCGAATGACTGAGAGTAGGTGAATTCATAAAGGCAGATAGTGTCGGTCGATTGCGCGTTCTCAATCTTCAGGTTACTGAACAGTAATGGTTGACTAGAGAATGCTATTCTCAACGATGCTGCTACGAATTTCTTTTTCAAAGGACTGTGAGGTTCTTCTTTTAAGGGTGACGGCAGATAAGCCACCCTTGAATTCAAGGTTCGTATATATATATATATATATATAGTTATTCGCGTCGGTGGCACAGTGGTTAGGACTCTCACCGACCATGCACATGGTCCGAGGTTCAATCCCCTGCCAACGCACACCTGATATCTGTGGTCGGCCTGCAAAATTTGAGCTACCTATATCCATGCTGAAAATTCCATACTTGTACCAAAAAAGTACTGTGTGGAATCAAGCTGTAATCAAAAGAAAAAATATTATCTGAGCTAATATGAATATCAGTGACTGGTTTTCAATCTTCATTGCCCTTGAAATACAATTAATTCCCTTTATTATTCCCTTCTATTTTCCGTAAATTCTTAAATCAAAGTATTTTTATGGTTTGAGTGTGTGGTTTTTGTCTACTAAATCGATGGGTGTATATTTCGGTGAATCTATGCGCGGAATGCATTTTTACTCAACTCAGTATACTCAACTAATCTAATCCAGTTTTTTTTGTTGTTGTTGAAATCTAAAAGTGTTTTTCATGCTTTTATGTCACAGTTTCCCCCTCTCTCTCTCTCTCCCTCTCTTTATCGCTCTTTGTGTACTTTAATTCTTTCTATCCGCCATCAGTCCTCATTATCCATTGTTTGTTACTATTGGTAACCAGCTTGGCTTTTGTTGTTGAAACAGAAAGCATGTTGTGTTGTGTTGCGTGTGTTCTATCTGATAATATTATAAAAGAGGATAGAAACAAAGAGAAGTAAACAGTTGTTTTGTTTTGCTTTTTATCCTTTTTCATCACTTATGAATTCTATCATCTCACTTTCCCTTCTCTTTCTCTCTCTCTCTCTCTGTGTATTTTATTTCGCATTTAGACAAAATATATTCAGCACTCATATCGGTGTAAATCGAAAGCTGCAGCATTAGCCTTTTGGCATTGGGCTGTTGATCGAAAATGCTTCTTCACGTAAGTTCAATCTAGCGCTTGTTTGGTCTTGTTGTTGTTGTTGTCTTTGTGATTACTAAAAGTCAGAATATTCTTTTCAATACGTTCTCCTCTTCAGGTTCTTATAATTATAAAATATAATAATATTTATTGTCGTTACAATAATGATAGCCAGTTAGTTATGCGGCGGATACATTTTTTTTAACGTAGAATAACAGATTAGCAATTATGGGGTGTCAAAATAAATAGTCGTATTTGTGTGACAAACGTGCTAGGCTGAAATCGATTATAAAATATCTCGGTGAAATGGGAGACACTGGTGGTGATTAGTCATAATAGTTTTTCTATAGTTGGTTTGTAAGGATTAGTTTTGTTTTTACGAGTTGGTCACGGATTGATATCAGCTAGGGAATCATTGAAAACCTGGTAGAAGTTAGAATTCATGGGTTAGCCATTGAATCGGTGGGTTCCCAGTGAGTGGCTGAATGGTATACGAGCCAGCTTGCCTTGTAACTGGAAGGTTCTGGGTTCAAACTCTGATGGGGGGTGCGTACTGCCGATGATTCTTAAACTAGGATGAAACATCTGTCCAGTGCTGGTTTTCAATAGTTCTCTAACTGATATCAATCCCTGATCAACTCGTAAAAACAAAACTAACACATATAAACCAACTGTAGAGAATTAATCTGATGCTCGCTAGTGACTTGCTACAGGATGGAGTTTCCTGTAGTTCTAGGGAGAAGTCGTGAACAGTGAGGTCCATTCAGATGTCACGTGTGAGGATGGATGTCCCACCTACGAGAATGGTTGGGGTCACGCCAAATCACGAATTGGTAGAAGTTAGAATTCATAGGTTGCCCATTGAATCGGCTCCCAGTGGGTGAATGGTATACGAGCTCGCCTTGTAACCGGAAGGTCCTGGGTTTGAATCCCAGTGGGTGCATACTGGCGATGATTTCCAAAATGGTTCTCTAACTATTGTCAGCTCATGATGAAATCCTGTAAACCAATCAAATCCCTACAAACCAACACTTGAATTTCCAAAATAGTTGGATGAAACAGCTGGCTGTTCAGTACCCCAATGCTGGTTTTCAATGGTTCTCTAACTGGTATCAATCCGTGATCAACTCGCAAAAACATAACAGATTTGTAGAGTGCAGGGTAAGAAAATTGACAAGTCCCTTCACGGTATCGGGTGAGTGGCTAGTACAAAGTAGTATGTATTAAACAGGAGGTAGTAAGAAGTTCATAGTGAAATAACGAATGTGTGAAATGAAACAGGTGGACTATTTATTTCGACCCCCCATAACTAATCTGTTAGTCTATGTAAATAATGTATCCGCTGCATAATTGGTTATAAATATTATATTTTTTGTAATTGTAAGAACCTGAAGAGAAGAACTTAATGAAAAGAATATTCGTCGTTCAGATTGACCTTTAATTCATGCAGTATGGGAATATTTCACACTATTAAATCTTTGTGAATACGTCAACAACAAAAAATGGTATCATTTTTCAATGATAGATTATTATAATTGACTTTGGTTGTAATAAATGTCACAATTATGTCTAAAAGAGAAAAAAAATGTGTAACATCAGCTAGCATGGTATTTGATCATGGCATACTTGTTGTCATGAGGCTGTTCTGCCGAATAAAAAAAATTGTATTCTCAGGCTAACTGATATGATTATTGCTAAACCTGATTCTCCTATTGATTGGTTGACTGAGTCGAGATGTCTGGCCTTTGTTGACATGTCGGCTTCTAGTACGGATACTCCAATGATGTGGTGAATGGTGACTAGCAGTAGAATCCAGCTTGACCCACCCTTTTCTCTGTCCTGTTTTAGAACTTGTCAACTGGACTTACCTGTATTCCTCAGTGAGTAGTGATTGGTGTTCTCTGCACTGACGCTTGAACCCCTGTAGCCGTCGTTATTATACGACTAAGCATGATCCAATAGACCACTCGGATCACAAAAGTCACCTCTTATTGTTATTATTGTTCGTTTTTTAATTCAATTTCGATGTTACCATTTGTTTATTCGACCGATATATTTAACCTCTATTGACATATCGAGTGGTCTAGCGGATGACGCCGTGGCGCTTAAAACGATGGCTGCTGGATTAGAACCTCACTCACTGTGGAATGCAAGTGTAACGGTGGAAGACAAGGTCCAAGCAACAGATCGCTTATTAAGGAAACCAACACATATTTATAGATTTTCATAAACATTATTATAGATTATTGATAGCAGAAAAACACAGTCTTCTGATTGGTGGTTTCTCGCTGAACGTTAATCTTTCATCTCTCTGTGGTCGTTTCTTGAAGTTCAGATTATCTATCTGCAAATTGTATCCACCTACGCAAAATCTGCTGTGATTGGTTGTTGAATCAGTCTTTGTTTTTATTTTTCTCATGACCAATATTGGAAACATAAACATTGACGTAAATTACTGTCTACCAATTTGACTAGCAGCCATCTGTCACCACACAAGTACATCCAGTCGACCAGTCCCAAATAGGACAGCCGAAATGCTCATCCTAGTGGATTCCACAGTGCTAATCACCATCCACCAAAATTATTTCAAGCTAATCATCATACAGAGGCCGAACATTTAGGTCCAGTCAGTCAACATGAAAATAAAAACTGAATTAAAAAAGCAAATCTATTCCATCGTACCTAATTTAATAACAGTTGAATTTTTACTGAAAATTTCAGTGACATCAATTCATAATTATAATCAGATTAAACGTTGACTTGATCATAACTCATCAACATGTACATTGTTGAGTAACGACAAAGTGAAAGCATCATAGTCAAAGTCAACGTCTTTCAAAAGTTGACCTTCAATAACTGATTAGATACAGGGAATGCTATGAAATGTCATTCCCAGTAGAATCACGTCTGTCTTTTTCGACTTGGAGCGGCCAGTTACCGTGGTATTCAGCTCATTTACTAGGCACTTTCTCTGCAAATCTATACTGTAAGGTAGGGTTATGGCTTTTTAGATTAAGGTTTAGGGTTAAAGTTAGGGTTAGAAGTTAGGATTATGGTTAGAATTAGGAGTAGGTTGAAGAATAGTTTCAGAAATATCAATGGATCTCATAGTACCATGACCTATAGTCACCTGAATGAATGGAGATTATCGAGCATGGTACGATTTCTCTATATGTCGTCGGTGTATTGTCTGGGAGACATTCTTACAACCCATAAACTACAACTCTACAGTGTAAAATCGTGTTTGTAATATTTTTTTCAGTGCACTTTTTAACGATTATGCTAATTCATTCATAGGAACTGTGATTAAGACTAGACCGGATAGTTCCAAAAGATAATTGGGCGCCGAGTGAGAAGTAGACATTTGCGAAAAATTATATTTGTAAAATCTCAGAGAAATTGACATGCCCAATTCCAATGTTTCGTTCGTTCAGCAAACTGGTCCGAACTTCTTCAGGGAAATCAATCGAAAATAACATAAAAGAGATTATAATTTTCCAGACCGTCGATGTTATACGAATTTCCTGGGATAGTTTGAATGCTAACTCAGATTGAATGCTTATAAATTTTTTTAATATAATCCCAGGGTGTTTAAGAAAAAATCAAAACAAGATCTGTTTTCTGAACGTTTTGCTGTGTAAACCACAGTCTCTTCTTCAACAGAATTATTCCGATTTTATTAACCATCAAAAAAACGTTCAGAAAAATCTTTTATTGATTTTTCTTAAATACGCTGGGATTATTTTAAATAATTTATAATAGCATAACATTATATATATATATATATATATAAAGGTTAAGAGCCGAGTGCTAAGCAAAGAGGGTAAGTAAATGAATAAGGTTATAAAGGTAAATCGATTGAAATGGCTAGGACACGTGTTATGCATTCCTAATCATCTCCTTCCTCGATGGGAAATGTTGGCTAACATATAGGATAAGGTTGGAAAAGAAGAGCTAGTGGTGTTTACATCAAAACATGGCTTCAGTCCATGAAATCTATCATAGACAAAACCACAATAACCTTGAACAACCAATCAGAATTCAGATACAAGAAAGTCGCATAATCTTCGTGAAATCTATAAAATGGACATCTCTTCTTTTTAAAAACTTTGTCCAATCGAATGAGTCATGAAACGGTCATCAACATATAATAAACAAAATTGAATGAGCTGTGGTCAGAATTCGACCTCAGGCGTAATCACTAAAATTCTAATGAAAAGTGTTTAACAAACGTAGACTAATATTTGTAAATCTCAGGTCAAATTTTAATCACATCTCTTACATTTTTGTTTATTATATGTTGATGACTGTCTCATGACTCATATGATTAGGCAAAGTTTCTAAAAACAAGAGATGTCCTTTATATATATATATATATATATATATATAAATCTCTGTTATGTTAATTTCGATTAATTTCCCTGAAGAAGTTCGGACCAGTTTGCCGAACAAAACGTTGGAATTAGGCATTTCAATTTCGCTGAAATTTTACGAAGATTATGCAACCTTTTTGTATTTGAATTCTGATTGGTTGTTCAAGGTTATTGTGGTTATGGCTATGATAAATTCCGTGGACTGATTTCATGTTTTGGTGTAACCACCACTAACCCTTCTTTTCCAACCTTATCCTACATGTTAGCTAACATTTCCCTGTCAAGGACATGTGTCCTAGCCATTTCAATCGATTTACCTTTATAACCGTATTCATCGACACTCAACGCTTAACCTCAATAGGGCTTCAAGGTAGAGCTTTGAAGTCTCAGTAGCCGTGTTGTTTATTTTTACAGGATGGAGTTGCAAGCCTCAGGCTCAATCTTCCTTGTTTACTAGTCCTATTCCTGGCTTAGAGAGGTTTGAGAGTGCGTCGGTTGGGGATGGAACCCAGAACCACCTCTGTGCCATTGACGCACAAACACATCAATTAACTCAATATTAGTCATCATAATATACCACCACATAACATGGGAAACAGAACGCAGCTATTAATGACCAAAGACAACTAGCCTTTTCATATCTTCTATTTTCAATGGCCATATCTTACAGCTGTAAAGGATGACAGCAAACTGCTGTGGCACAGCATACATATCCTTTAATCGATAGCCAGTCGGTTATAACATCTACGCCAAGATAAAGATAGCCTGCTACATTTTCTGAGTATACTCCAAAAAGTCTTCTCATATGAGAAAAGTAGCACAAAGTATCCTCAAGTGGGAAAACTGCCAGACACCTAATTGACTCCGACTTTAAAAAAATAATCAATACACAAAAAAAACTCACATTAGTTAATTTAATTGGTGGATGGTGACTAGCCATTTTGTTTGTTAATAGTTAGTTGATTTCGAATTCTATTGAAGAATGAATTTGAATTTTTTGTTTCTTTGCTTGTTTTAATTTTTCATTGAACACTGTTCAACGGCTAAAATCCACTAAAAAGTTTACTTAGAGAAATGTCTGGCAGAACAAAGTCATTATTATTATTATCATTATTGTTACTTGTGGTTATAGTATTTGCCGCCTTGTAATTAGAGGTTAATTTTAATGTTTAATTAAATTTAATTAATTAAAGTTTTTATTATAATTATCCTCCTCCTAAATGAAAATACTAGTGACCTATGAACATCCATCAAACAGATCGATTTTTACCTCATTATTATGTCTCACAATTTATATTAAATGAAGACCAAAAAAAATGTTACTCTGTAGTCAAATATATAAACCAAAGTATCATGTGTTTGTACGCATACGTGTGTACGTGTGTGTATGCATGTGCGTGTATGTGCATGTTTGTGTATGTGTGTATAGCTGTTGTTATTTTCTTTGTACTCTTATGGTATTATGCTTATTTTGTGTGTGTGTGTGTGTGTGTGTGAGTAATGAAATACTTTGTGCCAAAATATAAAAATATAAAAGACGAAATGTGAATCAACTTGCAGGTTACTGTTGTTCTTGTTGTTGTTGCTATTATTCTTCATCATCAATATTTGGTTTCTCTGTTACACACACATACATACATACATACAACAAACATACATATGCAAATCATATATGTTAAAAAGCAGAGAAAAAAAAATAAATTCTTCGTTCAACTTATTACAACTGAGCAATTTTGTTGGAATAAACGAAGCATTCTTTGTTGTCGTTGGTGTCGCTGGTGGCGTTTTATGCCATATCTATGTATTGCATACCTATTTGTTCTATTTTGTCCTTCTTTTGTAATATATGTATATAATCGCTAATCATATTAAAATGTTCTTTTTTTTTGGTTGTTTTTGGTTTCTTTAATTTATCTTTAGTTTAAAACAAGCCAGTGAAGCAAAGAAAGTTAAACCATCTACAAGTATATTCAATCGAAGTCATTCTTATCGATTTAGGTAAGACTGTGAATAAATTTTTATAAACTGTCTAGAGGTTGATAGTACGTACGCATAGTCTAGAGAGTTATAATACCAGGCTAACTGAGTTTTTTCTTATTTTATTTACGATTGCTTTGATTATTATTATTATACCCTTGAGTTCTGAGTGGACCATAGGTGACCGGGTGGGGGGGGTGGTACTTCAACGGTACATCTCCATTTCATCCTGTTCTCTGCAGCTCACTCTAGCTGGATCCACTATTGCCCATAGGCTCCCATCTCCTCGATGTCGCACTCGAACATACACCAAACTCGTCATTTCCCGATTCATCTCTATGGTTCGCTGCCTACAAGAGTTTCTTGTTGCTAATTCTTTCTCGCCAGTCTGCCATGTGATTTTCAGTATGGAGCTAGAAAAGGCAGTGCTTTTCGTGGCACATGCAGAAGACCTGAATGACTTAACGTTGGTGTTGAAAATCTGGATTTTGTTGTTAATGCTGACTAAGTACTGATTTCCACAGTGATCTCAGAGCGATGAAAGTATGCTTTGCATTTCCGATTTTGTCTGGTTTGACATCGTCAAACTATTCTGTCGCCTGTGGTTGAATGGATGCTGCCTAGATAAATGAAGAATTTGACCTCTTTCAAATTCCTTCTGTTGATAGTGATTGGTCTTTTTTGTTGTGCTGGTTGCTTGGTTGTTTGGTTATCTTCATTACATTCTTTGTTTGATGTCCTGTCTTCGCTGCTTTGATTGTTTTGCAGTCTTCATAATCTTTCGGTTTTATACATTTCAAGTGTGTATCGACATATCTAATCTCCAGATTCTTATACCTTTGCCATCTAACATGATGTGCCTCTCTTCTTCCTGGCTATATTTGGTACACGTTTTTACTCTGCCTAAAGAAGATTATTTTTGTTGTTGTTTGTGAATTTCATCTGCAATAGAATACCGCTACTTTTTATTTCAAATTAGCGCCTAGCTCAGCTAATCTATCACTATGTGATGTGTTTTGTTATGAACAGTCTATGAAATATTGTTTACACAAGAATTCCCTCGTTGGGATTTGACTAATTTAAGAACAGATCGCAAGTTGACTTCAGTTATAGAACCATTGAAAACCAGTAGGAAGAGGCTGGGCTACCGTTTTGTTTCTGGCTGGGACTCTTCAACAGTACACACCCATGACCCCGCCATCAGGTACTCCCTGGTCTTCAATGGTTCTCTCCAGCTCTAAAGTTATTGTATTGACCAGTCGTGAGATCGATCAAATCCCTGTAAAGCAACACTTAAAAATCAGTCCAGTGCTCAAACCAGCCTAACTGTAACTGCAGGATGAAGTTACCGGAGATTGTAGTAAGGAACCGTGATCAGTAGGGTCTGCCAAGTTGTGGGTATGAGAAAAAATACTCACTCATGACACTGGCTGCTGATGACATCATACTTCATGAAGGGATACAAGTAACTTGAAAATCCTGGGTTCGACCCCCGACTGAGGTCACGGATGCGTACTACTGAATAGTCTGAAACTAGAACGAAATAGGTGTTCAGTACTCTCGGGTTCTCGATGGTTCTCCATTTGAAGTTATTTTGTTATCCGTCGAGAAGTAGTGTTCAGGCGATAATAACTGCACATGCACAAGTGTTTCCATTTTATATTCTCAACTTGATGAATAGGTATCGGGTGTGTACATCAATGCACAAGTAATCAAGAATACACTTCCAAACTGACCGCTTTTGTTTCTACCCATCTATGCTTTTTCACAGTCACTGTATATTCGGTGGCACAGCGGTTATGACTCTTGCCGACCATGCACATGGTCCGAGGTTCGATCCCTCGCCGACGCATACCTGATATCTATGGTCGGCCTGCAAAATTTGGGCTACCGATATCCATGCTGAAAATTCCATACTTGTACCAAAAATACAGTGTGGAATCAAGCTGTAATCAAAAATAAAAATAAATAAATAACTAAAATTATAATTCTCTCCTAGTATGTGGTGGAAGTATTGGGGATAAAAGCAGCCGCTAGGTATTTTCGCGCATAGATTAGTAAACGCTACAACAGATTTTCCAGCTGTATAAAAAAAGTTGATCTACCATCTTTATAACACCCAAATGTCATGTGTGATATCATCTCACCATTCTTCTAGGAACGTAATACAAAATCACACAAAAAAGCCAACTACTTGAGCAGATTCAGGCAGTAATTGATCGCTTGTATTCTAATTTTATGCAAGTATTTTTAAATGATAGTGCGGCAAGTTTCTTCTGTAATAAATTATGACTTCATTCATTTGGAGATAGTGAAAGAAAAATTCTTGAATTAAAGAAATAATGAGTTAGTTTGTAGGGATTAGATTTATTTTAATATTCATCACGAATTGACATCAGTTAGAGAACTATTGGCAATCAGCAGGGAATACTAGACAGTTATTTCATCCTGGTTGGGGGCCACCATCAGGTTGTGCTTGAGGACAAACACTTACCAATGACATTGGTTGTTGGCCGCATTGCTATTACGAGCTGATAAAAGCTAGAATTCATGGGCTGGCTATTGAATCGGATCCCACTGGCTGTGAGTAGTCTGTTTAAATTTCCTTCCAATCGCATTAGGTCTTGGGTTCGAACCCTCTCCACTGGTGGATACTGACGATGAGTTCCAAACTAGAACAAAACAGCTGTCCAGTATTCCCTGCATATATTCAATGTCTCTCCAACTGTTATCAATCTGTGGGCAAACTTGAAAAATCACTGAAGAATATAACCTTAAGTTTAATCCATTTGTCGCATAGTTATTTAATCCCTAATTTACGAACAAAGTAGTAATGAGAGATAGACAGAGAAAAAAAAGATAGAGTGAGCCAGCCAAAAAGAACGAAAAGGAAAACAGATTAAAATCAATAAGAAACTGGAAGTTGAGCATTAATCACTATTCACTGTGAATATGTTGTATAGGTGAATCACTGCGATTAGCTACTTTAATATTTCGAATTGTAATTCTGAATAGTTATCAAAATTTTAAAAAGAAAGCATTAGTCTTCCGATCAATAAATATTATATAGAAATATAAATGCCACTTTGTTAAATTCCCTTTTTCTACTGCATATTTTAGGTTTGAATTAGGTTTTTGTTCCACGTCTTTCTTCCACGTTCCACGTCTTGTGCGTCGGTGGCACAGCGGTTAGGACGCTAGCCGACCATGCTCATGGTCCGGGGTTCGATTCCCGGCCGACGCACTCCTTTACCTCGCTAAACTCATAATGAGACTGCTAAAGAGGAAAGGTTGGGCATGAGGCTAGCAACCCCATCCTATAAAAATAAACACTGCTACAGAAACTTCAAGTCACTGGCTTGAAGCCCTATGTTCCACTGGGGAACTTGAAGGAAAAATTATTATTTATTATTATTCCACGTCTTTCTTAGCTTAAGTTGTGAAAAAATTTGTACTAAAGAGAGAGTAAATATATCGTCATCATTGTAACTTTGTCTTTAAAGACACCCAATGTGATCTATGCTAAAAAGGGCACAGGATAACAAAGATTAGATTATTAGATAGTTGGAGTCTATTAGTAGGAAGCCTGCAATTAGAGACGTTACCACTGAGCTATTCGGACTCGCGATTGACCTCCTGTAGGACTGTAGTGGGTATTTTCACATTGGACACTAGTAACGAGTGTGACATGTCTAGTCCCTTCTTTGGTGCATATTGAATTCTCTCATTCAGGTTTTCAATGTGTCCACCATTCTAGGTAGTTCGCCATTACGGTGCACAGTGATTTGATGATATTAGATAGTTACTAGTATCCAATGAAAATACCGACTACAGTCCTACAAGAAGTCAATCGAGAGCCCGAATTACTTAGTGGTAACGTCTGTGACAGCAGCACTCACTGGGTAACGCGGGTTTGAATCTCAGAAGGTATACGAGCTCCTTCAAGGTTGCAGATACGCCCTGGTGACTGATGAGTGCCAACTAGCACGAAACCTAGGTCTAGGCAAGGCTTCCTCTGGCCGATTGACTCCAGCTGTCTAATATCATCAAATCAGTGTACACCGTGACTGTGAGCTACTTAGAATGGTGGCCACATTACAAACTTGACTGATAGAATTCAGTCTGCACCAATCAGAGGACTAGACACATCACACTAATTACTAGTGTTCAAAGAAGAGATTATTTTGGTTTATAACCACCCTTCAAAGCTGTACAGTCAAAAATAGTATTCCAAAAGGTTATGCAAATAACTATAAGGGTCATTCATTGATATTAATTTGTAATATGACATACGAGATTATTCGGTAGATGGATGGTAGCTAGCAGTAGAATCCAGCTTGATGTGGCCGTTCCTGTTTATAACTTGTCAGCTGGATTTACCTGCATTCTCCCAGTGAGTGATAGTGTTCTCTGCACTGAGACTTAAATCCCATAGTACCCGTCATTTACAGGATTGATGAGCAGTATCAACTAGCTTAGCTGTACAGGAAATCCATGGTGATCATCAAAACAAAGAACTGGAGACTTCAGTAAGCCAAGTGATAATTGATATCGCTATTCTCAGACTAGATTAAGGCTAAAGTATAGTAGTAATGGACAAAAATGAATACAAAAGTAAAGTGTTATGCATCATTTTTTTCATTTCTATTTCATGTTCCTTTTTCCACATACTTTGTCCTGAATTGATAAAATTATTCTTAGTCGACTTCTTTCTCTGCAAATGCTGAACTATTGATATACTACATATAGTTATTAGATGATTGGAGGCAGTTGGCAAGAAGCCTTGGACGTAAGTTTTCTGCCTTTAGACTCATCGGCATGGCGTATCTGACATCTTAAAGCAGCTTATATCCTTAGAAGACGGTCTTACAGGAGGTCAATTAGGAGTCTGAATATAGTTCAGTGGTGTAACGTCTCTGACTACAGGACTGGGTAACCAAGGGGTTCGAATCTCTTCAAGATTGGAGATACACCTTGCTGACTTGTGTGAGTGACAACAAGCAAAAAACCTAGGTCAGCTGACTGGGCTTCCATCCGAATGTCTTCAACCACCTTCACAGTTCACAGTGATGGCGAACCACCTAGCTTAGTAGTGGACACATTGCAAAATTGACTGATAGAATTCAGTCTGCACCTAAACAACAAGGATTAGACTTGTGACACTGGGTACTAACCACCTAATAGTGTCCAATCAAAATACTAAGTATAGTCGTATATTTGTCTTATAAAGTCAGTATTCTGATAACCCTTTTAATTGAATTACTTACACACCTAAACGTTGAAACAAATCAAATCCTTACAAACTAACTCCTCTTGAAAATTAATCTGACGCTCGCTAGTGACTGGCCAGCTACAGGAAGAAGTTGTCTGGAGTTCTAATGGGAAGTTGTGTTCCAGTGGAGTCCGCCAGGGCACACCTGAGGATATATACTCGATGATGACACTGACTGGTGGTCACACTGAAATCACGAATTGGTAGAAGTTAGAATTCTTGGGCTGACCATTGAATCCGGTCCCAATGGCTGAATGGTCTATGATGTTGACTTGTAAGCAGAAAGTCCTTGGTGAGTACTGATGACGAGTCCCAAACTAGGCGGACGAAACAGCTGTCCAGTATTCGCTGATTGATTTCAGTGATTCTCTAACTGATATCATACTTGAACCAAATCAAATCCCCACAAACACACTCTACTAAAATTGTAATGACAGAAGGCAAGAGCCAGGCAATAGATCGTTTATTAAGAAAATCAACACATATTTATAGATTTTCATGTACATTGTTATAGATTATTGTTAGTAGACAAACACAATTTTCTGATTGGTGATTGTTTCTCACAAAAAGTTAACCTTGCATCTCTTTGTGACTGTTTCTTCAATGTCCGCCTACTCAAAATCAGTCTTTGTTTTTATTTTTCTCACGACCAATATTGGGGACATAAACATTGACGTAAATTACTGTCCACCAATTTTGACTAACAGCCAGCTCTTAGCACAAAATCACATAACTAGAGAGATTTAAAGTTGTGACTTCGCTGTGTTGTAGAAAGGATGTTATCCTTGTTAAAATTGAATGCTGAATAGTAGTTGCGTTTTGATTGAAACTATCATAATAGTATAGATTTTTCATAATTCTAATAAATTGTCATTATCAGGGACACTGGATTAACTTGGTTTTAAGATAGGTAACACATTTTCTTCATAAATATAACTTACCGAATCTTTCAATACATTGTTCTCCTATCACAATAATCGCTTATAGTGGACAGAGTACTAAGTTTGTTTACAGGTCATCGAGTGGAACCGGACTAGGAAACGATGAGCGGGACGTGTGTCGGAGGGTGACATGGAGGGGATAAGAGACTATGGGCAATCGTGAGGCCGGCTAAAGAGGACTGCAGAGAATAGGAAGAAGTGGAGACATGTTGTTGGAGTCCTATTTTCCATCTGGAACCCAAGGGAATACATAATAATAATAATAATGATCATTATAGTTATGTGGTCTTTACGACTTACTAACTACTATTGCTTATTATTTCAATCAGTTTAATTAAATTCAGCATATTAACTTTTTGTGAATAATATTTATTTTGTACTTTCATTTGTTTTTTTTCATAGTGGAAGATCTCAACAAGAACTACGTGCCAATACTGTTTCTGTAGCTAATCTTCCTCAGCCATCCTTCAGTCGGTATGTGGAGGTTCGCGTTTTTTTGTTTCTTCTGCTTTTTGTTATCGTATGATTTACTAAAATGTGTACTACTGATTTTTGTTGATGTCTTTACTATATTGGCGGATGGTGTTGAACAATTTTGGGGTAGAAGTCAGCAAAATTTACTACTGACCTAAAAACAGCTACCTGTGTGATTTTGGATAATCACAGGGGGATTAGTTTGACTGACGAGGATATCAAAGCCAGAATCGGAAAAGCAAGACAAGCTTTCATTACTCTGAAGTCTGTGTGGAGGTCAACAGCACTCACCATCAAAAATAAGATCCGGATTGTCAACTCCAATGTGAAGTCAGTGCTTCTTACTGTACGGATCAGAGACTTGGCCAGCGCGTCATAAAGAGCATCTCAAACGAACTTCAGACCTTCATTAACAGTTGTCTTCGCTCAATACCACTCAAGATCAGATGGCTGGCCAGAAAAGATCGGCAAAAGGGATCTCTGGCAATGAGCGAACCAACCCACCAGGAGCCGATTGTGAGACAAATAGGCAGGAAGAAATGGAGATGGATTGGCCATACTGTTAGAAAACAAACCATCAAGTGACATCACTAGACAAGCCATTGCTCGAGTGGAACCAAGCCGAAAGGGAAGCGACGAGTTGGTCGTCAGTGCGAGGCTGGGGTGACTTGGAGGAGGTCATGTGAAGAGGAGATGAAAGCGTGTGGGCAGACTTGGAGCGGGATGAAAACTTTGGCAGAGAACCGAAGGCAATGGAGACTTGGGCGGCTGAAGCCCTATGTTCCTCTAGGAATTAAAGGATATAATAATAATAATATCTAAAATTCTAGGCTCAGTAGTCATACGTAGATTGAGTGGTGATCGAAAGGAAAAAATGCGAGCAAACCAGGAAGAGGGTGTATTGATCACCTTTTCACCTATCAAAAGATTCTAGAACATAGATATACTTAGGGGCGTCGAATTGTCTCCGTATTTCTTGATTTGAAGACGGAATTTGACTCCACTATGGCATTATTCGGCCACGAAGAGAGTGATGCAAAGGTACAACGCACTAGTCAAGACACCCTAATCGAACTCATGTAATCGTTCAAGAGCTTACGGAGATTTGTCATTTGAAGTGATGACAACTAGTGATGTTCGTCTGGGATGTCCACTATCCACATTTCTGTTTAAATTCATCATAGATGTACTAATAGAATTGACTTGTTGACTTAGAATATGTTGATGATATAGTCCTCCTCCTAGGTGAAGGCGCTAATAAAATCCAGAGATCTCTGAACACCTTGAACATTACGATCTTCGGATGTTTGGCTTCCGATTTTCTTCTGTCAAATGCATGATAGTGCTACAGGACTGGACTACACGGACTCTTAGCGTAAAGAAAGGGATTGAAGTGGTAGAGTGTGTTGACTACTTCACTTATTTTGGAAGTTGCATCAGCCACAATGGACTGATTTTCGACGAAATCTCGGCAGGGATACAGAAGGCTCCAACTTACGCCATCTCTGGCACAGACGTGATATCCGGCTGCCGCCCAAAAGACGTGTGTACTGCTCAGCATTCTTCTCCATTATCCTTTATGGCTGGCTGTGAAACATGTCCATTGAAAGTGGAAGATAAGCTGTGTTTGATCATACGTGTCTACGTCCTATCTCTCGTGTTAATTGGTAGGTGTAATAGGGAGAGCAATTTTAAGGTTAGGATTCGAGTGCTAGGTAAGGAAGGGAAATCAGCCGGTGCGGTTGTGAAGTTACACCAGTTGAGATAGTTAGGAAGTGTTTTATGCATGCCTGCCTAGTCATCTGCTTCCTCGAAGGGCGATGTTAACTGACATAGAATCAGGTTGTAAAAAAGATATTGTTGGTTAAATCAAAACATGCCTTCATAAGTCCATGAAATCTTTGTCAATTAATTTGAGCCAGTCACTTGCATCTAGGTGTGGGCTTCCTGTTTGGATCCAACGACTGAAGACAATTCATGATATGGTTCGAACTTGTTCTCACTGGCTCCCACATCCAATAAACCCTATTGTTTTTACCATGTTACTGTTCTTTCTACCTCACGTTTCTGGTTCACCTCGTCCTTTCGAATTTCCTTTTTTGATATCTTTTGTCTTCCCATGCATACTACATGGAATGTGGCAACTCGAACTGCTGCACATCTGTGCAAAGTTCTTCCCTGAAACCAGTCACTCAGTTAGTCTTAGATTATTGTATGAAAGTCTTCTACACAAAGTGTACAATAAGTATTCTTTTGCTATTAACATTTATGCGCCAGTCACATTTACATATTTTCTGTTTTGTTTTAGCGTATTTAACTAATTTATAGAGTAATCAATATCCTTTTTTATGTATAATTTTCTTCAGTGTTTCCAGTTTCCGTAAAGTCGTAGCCTTATACCCAGACTCGAATGGTTCTCTTGGTCGAGCTACACTACCAGGGAGACTTCGGGCGCCGAGTGAATATTCTGGGAATCGTTTAGACAAGACTAAAACACTAGATGAAGCTAGTCCGTTAATGACAGCATTCACAGATATGCCAGAAAGTAAGCTTGCACGTATTTTTTCTTGGATTATCTGTTATGATCCCTTTAATTAGATTTTATTCATGTTATTACTATGTATTAAACCTGGTTGTTACATAGAGTGCCCAATATTTTTATATGTAACTAGTACTATCGTTGAATAATGATCACAAATTAAGGAGGAATAATAGGTCAGTGCTTGGCTTGACGTTATTGTAGAAGAAATTTCAGCGTATTCGTCTCGTGACATGACTGCCTCCTACTATCATCGATGATATTCCTGAATGTGGTGAGCTGGATCATTCAGCACACCATGGAGAGTGAGAAAACGAGCGTGCGCTGCACCAGCGACAATAATAATAATAGTTAAGCTTTATTTCAGACAATATGTGAACATAAATTACAGAAATTTACAGCGTATTTAGTTTCAAAATATATTTCCTCTACATACAGAATTTACATGTAAAGCAAGTAGTCTGAAGTACATCGTTTGTATTTGACGAAAGGACCATGTCTGTGCACTTCTACTTCGATTCCTTCGAAAAATTGCATAGCGATTAAATAGATATGCGTGTGGGTTCGTGTATTGGTCATCTGATATAGTTGCACGAATAAGAAGTGCGGAAAAGTTTGAGCAGCACTTTGATGGATGGAAATTCTGGTAGTCCAATGATTTAAACAGGCCGCCAGGAGTCTAAAAGATCTCGATTTAGAAGATGATTTATCTCTAATGTTACACAAAATCCGAAGATCTACAGGCGAAAACTAACAACAAGTTGGCAGAAAAGGCAGTGGGCAGCAAAGACCCGACTTCAAGTGTGATCATAGCGAAAATGGAGGTGATCAGTTGAAACCTGACCAACAGAAATAACTAGAACCAGTCACCATCAATGGGAGAAATTTGAAGGAATAGGCTTCTTTTACTTATCCACTCGACGTTGTTTCATCTACAGGCATTGGGGCATGGATGTGGATATCAAAGGGAGCAGGATAGGAAAGGCACTACAGACCTTCATATTAATCATCTGGATGTCAAATCGATGAGTGCTTCTATGGGGTTCAGAGACTTGGCACGCCTGTCTTAAGAAGCATTCCCATCAGCCTAATACTTCAGACCTGTTATCAACACCTGCTTCTGCTTCATACTGAAGGATAAGCAGCAACCAGAAACTCTGATAGGCAGCCAACCAACCAAAACTGCTGAAGGAAATGGATTGGACATTTACTGAGGAAACTGTTTGAGTGAAGACATCATATACCATGGCGTCTTCGCTCGAAGGGATCCTGAATGGAAAACGATGGGTTGAGCTAAATGGGACTGTAGATAACAGATTGAAATAGAGATGTTCTGTTGAAGGTTTATGTTCCGATCAATCGAAACTTATGGAAATAATAACGATAAGTATCAATCACTAACTTATGCATACTTTTATTGGCGGATGGTGAATAGCAGTGGAATCCACGGTGCGCACTTCGTCCTACTTGGGACTTGTCATCCGGATGTATTCACATTCCCCAATGAGTGGTGATGTTCCCACCGAGACTCAAACCCAGTGCCTTTAGTTCCAAACACCAAAGAGTTATCCACTAGACCGCTTGAGCCATGAGACCCGCCTCTTTTGCAACGGATCATATTAATTATTTAGTTGAATTCTAGATTTTCCCATCGATTGATTGGACCGAAGTGTTCGTGGTCACAGGTTGACATGTCTGTCGGCTTCTTGTGCAGATGCTTCGATGATGCTGACAAGTCCCCAATAGGACGGCGGAAATGCGCATCCTGACTGGATTCCACTGCTAGTCACCACCACCACCAATTCAATTCTAATTACATACCCAGACATCATTTGGTTTGGGTAAATGTATGTTTTATCTGAATTCTCTACACAAGGCATACATAAATCCTCTGTATAAGAAGTTGTTATATTGAAAATGAATAGATAAATGGCAGATGTTTGACATGTTCATCTTATAAAACAATAGAACAAACAGTGAACACACACTAATCGCCCACATTAAACGATTGAATAAATCTTCGGCTGTTAAAAAAAACAGCGTCATTATGACCTCGAGTGTTCCTTTTTTAACAAAATAGGATACAGTATTGTTAGTTATCCTACTACTACTACTATTATTATTATTTGTTTGTTTTATTCGATTAGCAACTAGTGTTAACATTTCAAAATATCAAAAAATTTCATTGCTAAAATACTTGAACTAATACAGTACACATTTTACTGAATTTTTTTTATATTTATAAATTTCATGCATATATAAGTGCATTTTAATTCTGAAATTTAGTATGATTTTGTCATTATTATTATTATCATCATCATTGTATGTGTGAATATTTTTTAGTGATGTTTGTTCGCTTGTGTTAATGTAATGTTAATAGTGCACAATTGTAATTTATAAAATGTTTTCTGCTTTTTATGGCAAGATTACTGACATCTCTCTGTCTCTCTCTCTCTGGTCTTTGGTCTCTATGTCTCTCGCTCACTCTATAATCTTGTGTCAATTGTCGCCAATCTCTTATGGTGTTAGCTATTAGTGCTACTAATACTACTACAACTACTACGACTAATCAGTCATACTTTACAACTAGGCTGCTATTGCTATTACTTCTACAATGACTGCCACACACACACACACACTCATACGCACACCCACGCACACACGCACACGCACACACACACAGTACCACATTTCCAAGCCCTGTGAACAACGTGTGATAATGTTTATCTCAATATTTGATTGAATGCCTTTCTTGTCACATCTTCTGCTAACTAACTAGGTTTATTTTTAAAAAAGAGTTAATATGCAGAGAAGAATTTGCTGCTGCATGTAATGAATTTTTATTAGTAATTCGTTTTTATAAAACATTAAGATTTAAAGGGTGTTTAGTGAACATATTGATCGTTGTAGATGGAATGAATGTTTGCCAGGTAGACAAACATCACATACAAAGAGAAGTTCAACAGTTCACTTTTCCTCTTTGATTGATTTGATCTGCGTTTAAATATCGGTGGACGCTTCTGTGATGCCTGAGGAGGATAAACTTGAAATAATTTTGGTGGATGGTGACTTCCAGTGGAATCCACTAGGATGTGAATTCCATCCTATTTAGGAGACGTCATCTAGATGTGTAACAACAGAAGAGAAGGGCCAGGAAACAGATCGTATATTAAGGAAATCAACAGATATTTATAGATTTTCGTGTACATTATTATAGATTATTGATAGCAGAAAAACACAGTCTTCTGATTGGTTCTTTCTCACAGAGAGATAACCTTCCATCTCATTGTAGCTGTTTCTTGAAGTTCAGATTATCTATCTGCAAATTGTATCCGCCTACGCAAAGTCTACTGTGATTGATTGTTGAATCAGTCTTTGTTCCTGTTTTCAAATGATCAATATTTGGGACATAAACATTGATGTAAATTACTATCTACCAGTTTGGCTAGTAGCCAGCTGTCACCACATATGAACCTTCATTCCCCCAGTGAGTTATGTGTGGTGTTCCCTGTACTGAGGCTAAAACCGAAGTATCCGTCGTTTTAAGCGCCAAAGTGTTATTCACTAGACTCTTTGGGTCATGAGAGAGCTACATTTTGTGCAGTGGATATCAATTATTGTTTTGTTTTGAATTCAGTTTCGATTTTCTCGTTGATTGGTTGATCAGAAATGTTCGAGCCTCAGTGCAGGCAGCACTATCACTAATTAAGGAATGCAAGTACATTTAGATGACGAGTCCCGAATAAGATAGCCTAAATGCGAATCCTATTGGATTCCACTGTCAGTCACTTTCCTACGAAATTACTTAACTTTAATCCTCAAATAGAGGTCGAACACTTAAGTCAAGTCAATATATGGGAAAATCGAAATTGACTGCGTAGGTGTGTTTTTTATCCTTGATTGGTCAGCCTTATCTTTATAACAGTCCCCTTCCGTTTTAGCGTCTGGGTGCTAATTCATGAGTGCGTCTATCTTCCACATATGCATACACACGCACACAGTCATTTTCAGTTCGAACTTTCTGCTTGTGTGATCGGTGTCATTTACTTCATAAATTCCAATTCGACTTGAACTTATTCATCGTGGAACATCTTGTCTTTAGTCTGCCTATTGAAACTCTAACCATTGGGTCATAATTGTCTTCTATAGTTGACCAAATAAAATCATCTCATGTTTCTGGATTGCAACATATTTAGGCATTGCATTTGAATTATAGTCAGCGTAACACTATATACTGGATGAAAAACAAAGATTTAAGTATCACTCAGATAGTTGTCATTTTGGTGAAGTATTTTACCTGTATCCCTACACATCGGCCTATCACCCTCTTTTTGTATTTACTAAATGTTTCTACTGTCACTATTTGATACCTTCATCAGACTCAGAATAAGAGAGGAATTCTTTAATCATAATCTGCAAGCAAAATGGCGCTATTATAATATTATAAATCCTTTTGCCTCCGAGAGGAACACGGGGCTTCAACAAAATATCTCTATTTCACCTTGTTCTCTGCAGTGCTGCCTCTCTGGCCCTGCGATTGCCTACAGGCTCTCACCTCCTCGTCATATGAGATCTCCTCCATGTCACCCTCGGACACAAGCTCAACTCCTCGTTTTCCATTCGGATTACATTTGAGAGGTGGTCTGCATTGTTCATGACGTCACTTAGTGGTCTCCTCAGCGAGTATCTGATCCGTCTCCATTTCCTTCAACATATTTGTTGAGTGATAAGTGCTTGGTTGGTTAATTCCTAGAGTTTCTTGCTGTTAATTCTGTCTGAAAGGCTAATCTAATCTTCAGTATGGAACCGACGAAGACAACTGTTGGTAAAAGTGTGCAGTAGCCTATTGGTGCAGAGCGCAGAAGATTTCTACACTGATTTCAGAATGATAGAGGTCTTCGTAGCTTTGTCGATTCTGATTTTGACATTCTCATCCTTTCGGCTGCCTATGTTTGTTTGGACTTATGCTGCCTAGATGAGTGAATGAAGTGACCTATTTCAAATTC